AACAATAAGGAATATAATAGGTATCATGAAATGTGTGGATAATAAATTTTTTTTTTTTCAATGAATAGTTAAAATTTTTAATTGAATACCATTTATAAATTTATATCCAATGGGAGGCTAAGAAAATAAATATAAATTTGTCAAATTTGCGATTTAGATCCTCAATGTTCAAGCTTCAACTATTTTGGTCCATTGAGTTCCAATTAAAATAAAAAAGATCATTCAATAATCATTACTAAAATCGGATGATACTTCAGTGACCGTTAGTGCAAGTTTTAAATTTCAGTAACCGTTTTGTGATTTTGACGTAACTTCAACGATCGTTGCGAAATTAACCCGATTTTTATAAGTCATTGTTATACTAATGAGCTTATTTTTATGAATAAGTCTACATGTATATAATGATTGCACATAGAGATGTACATAACACTCACAAGGAGATGGAGTCCACTCGAATATCTTATTAGAGTGGACTCCACTTATGTGAGTATTACGTATACCACTATTTACATAAATTATGTAAGCCAAGCATATCTCTATTTTTATAGGATGAAGGACCGATGCAAATCCAAATATAAAACACTGTTTTTAATCCATCCGTTGTTCTATCCAAGAAAAGGAGAATCAAGGCAATCTTAACACGCTTACTTTTTTCAAAATTATCCCCATTTTATTATTATTATTATCATATTTGTCTAGTGGCATTTTCTCATATTTTTCCCATACTAAACGACGACGCAGAACTCCCACCTTCCACTTTACCCCATCTTCCTCTGTTCCTCCCCCTCGAAGGTTCCAAACCCATCCTTACTCCTTTCTCCAAAAGTGTATTTACATACATACACGTGTGCACACTGGATAATATCTCTTTCTCCGATATCGAAATCAGACGATCGGCAAACATTGAGATGTTTGCGGGTCCCACATCGCCGGAACCATGAACTTCCGGCCGTTTACCCCGTGCGAATTGTAGCTGGCTCCAGTAGTTTTATCAGTCAACACATTACCGGCGTAACCCGGGTATGCACCCGACCCGAAAACGCCCGTGCAAGCAGTGACAGCCTCCAATGGTGCCGTCGCCGGGCCCTGGAAATACCCGTTGTTAAACGGGTTCGTCACTGCTCCCGCCAAAACCGTCGCCAGGTTTATGACCATCCCGTCAACTCCCACATCTCCATTCGGCGCCACTAAAGGTGGGGTCTGTGGGCCGTAAATGGGCTGATGGAAAGGCCACGCGCAGTAACCAGGGCACTGAGTCTCCGCGTTCCCCACCCACGCATAAGCAAACCGAGTCCGGCCCCGGGTAGACCCGTGGCTACCACATCTATTCATGCAAAACCCATTGACGGCGACATCTTTTGCCGTCAATACAACGTTAATCGACCCCCTCATATGCCCACCCTTGGAGGCCAAGTAAATAATTTGGGTATTCTTGAGGGATTTTCCAAGAGAGTAATTTTGGTCGAGGATTTGCTTCCCTACAACGAGCGTAGATGAACCACCTCCCTTGTACTTCTCAGTTGTCTTCCACCAGGAAGAAACAGAGGGCACGGGGGCTTTTGGAGAGTTGAGAGACTGCAGAAAATCAACGATTACGGATCGCTGGACTGGAGTGAACTTTCCGTACCAGATGAGATTAACGGTAATGGGCCCTTTTAGTAAGTCCCCGTTGTGGTATTTCAATAAAAGGGGCTGTTGCTGTACCAAAACTGCTATGGTAGAAGAGGTGAAAAAGAAAAAGAAGAAGAGTGCGGAACAATAATTTGAAGCCATTGGTCCTTGAGAGAAAGCTCAGAGTAAACGGTGGTATTTATAGTGGGAAATGGGTGAGAGGGGGACACGTGGGAATACATAATTGGGAGGTGTGCTGTGAGATGTTGCCAGGCTGGACGGTTCTTGGGGTGACGTGGGTGGTCTATAGAGGAATGCGACTGTGACGTGGTGTTATGGCAATGAAGGCGATGTAGACGTACGCGTGTGTGTGTATGTGTGTATTTTTGGGACGTATATATTTTTCTTTTTTTTTCTTAAATAAGTAACAAAAAATCTATTTTTACAAACTTATATTCAGTGGGGATTAAAATTAAATTTTTAACGAATTTCGATAAAAGTTGATAGAATATATGGTTGAATTATGAGTTCCATGAAATATATGATTAAAATTCATTATTGATATTGATTTAATTTTTTTTTTTAAAATGATTTTAATTGTGTCAAAATGGAGCTAAATGTATTAGTTGTGTATACATTTTCACAATATTAAGGTTATAATTTTCTCCTTCAACATTATTCAATTTTTTGACTTCTATACATAATATCGTTTCTAGTATATAAATCATTGTTAGTATACATTTGGAATTTTGGATCGAGACATATCCATATATAATAGATTTGGGTGGAAATTGGAGTGATTTTTAATTAAATTAACTTTCATATGAAGGAGAGTGTGTAGTCGATAAGACCTTTTGATGTCCATATGAAGTTAGTTAAATATAGCTTTTAACGCTGACATCTTAAATTGATAGCTATTTATGAATATGCATTTTAAACCTATGAAAATGTTTTTCTTTAAAAAATAAATTATTTTCACTTTGTGCTTAGTTAGAAGTATTTTGAGCCGTTAAAGCGTATATTTGGAAAGACTAAAATAAGCAATAAATAATCTACTTTTAAGTTTAATTGACGATTAATAGCAGAAAATCCCCTACAAATTTGTTCATTTTGATATATCTCATGCCAATTGAAAATCGTAGAAAACCCCCATATTTGAAACGTTTTGTTTGAAATACCTCTCTACCATTAAGATTCGTTAATTTAACCGTTAAAAACTATAAAAAAAAATACGAAAATTATAAAAAGAATAGTTGTTTTGGTTTTGCACAATTGGTACAAGACATAAAATTATTTTGGGTGGGGATTTTGGATTTTGGTTTTGGTTTTTTATTTCAAAATGTTAGGATGGAGTGGGTTGGGGGGGGGGGGATGGGTGGGTGGACGGGAAAAAATAAAATTTTAAAGATTTGAAATTGTGAGTAGCACATATAAAAATATTGGTTATAATATGCAAAGAAATAGAAAGTTTGGATATTAAAATTATAATTATTCTTTTTTAATTTTGGTATTTTTGACCGTTTGTAACCATTAAAGATTTAAAGTAACGGTTCTTAACGAAAGAAGGCATTTCAAACAAAACATTTCAAATAACGAGATTTTCATTAGGTAGAGGATATATTGCAAATCAATAAATTTATAGGGAAATTTTCTCTTATTAATCCATGAAAGCTTTTTAGGGTGTGTTTGAGCCACATTATTTTGAAAAATTGTATTATGGAATAGTTGATTGATGAAGAATG